ATTACTGATTACTAAACAATTTTCGACACATAAACACAATCAATTTGTTTCGGCGCAAATAACAAACACCGGTGTGATGACTCGATTGACACACCATAGAAAAATACAAACAAACCTGAAGTTGGCTGTTATTGACTTTGACGTTTGACGTAAACCGCGCGGATTCGATTGCTTTTTCTTCACTGGCGAGAATAAATATCCACTTACAACAGGAGCTATGATGAGTGAATGAGCGTCATTTTGATTTGTTTAAATGTATTTCAATAGATTTCAATACAAAAAAAAAATGACAAGTTTCAAAAGATAAATGAATACAATCAATTTAAACGTAAAAAAATTCAAATAATTTATTTTGCTTCCTAAAGCATCAGCGTTAGCCTTGAACTGAAATTGAATTTTGTCACGCAAACCATGCTGTCGATTGATTTATTTTTATTGAATTTCCTGGTAAAAAGAATCAATTTCAAAGATAATGATTCCATCGGTTGTACAAACCCACGAAAATAAATGTGTCAACCAAAGAAAAAGAACAACAAAAAAACATCGCTGACTTTACTCGTACACGTGAACCTGATTATACTACGCGACATTTTTTTTTACACATTTACGATATCGTATTTTGATTATCATAATTTTTATACACATTTTTCATCATCATCATCACTTCATTGTGTGTGTGTGATTTTTTGGCCAATGGTCCAAAACTTGTTCCATCGAATTTTTATTAAATTCGTCGTCAATAATTTTGATTATTGAATAACCAAAATGAATATTATGATTGGAAGTTGAAAAAAAAATGAGTCGAGAAACTGCAATGGTGATAATTCAATAATGATGAACCGTTGCTTAATTAAAAGGTTGTTTCTTCGTTGAAAACAGTTGGTTGAAAACGAAGGAAAAAAAGCTGATACAGGAAAATAAAACCATGTATAAAAATGGGTGTATGATGCGGGAATGTGTGTAAAAAGGGAGAATTGTGAAAAACATGAAGGTTAATAACTGCACGATTCTCGTGAAAGTGTTGTTTGAAATGCTTGCGTCTTCATTTAGTTATTACCATTTGAAATGGCGTGGAATTTGAATGTGCGACAGAGAGAGAGAGAGATTTCTGTCCAAATTTGGTAAATTCAAGTCTCATCTTGCTATGGATCTGGCGCTAAAACGAGAATGGCGTTAAAACCGATGTGACGTCCATTGTCACCAGATGAAATGTGACCAAACATGAAATTGGAAGCACGAGTCGATTGCATCAATGTGCCTGTGCTTGCAATTAATTAGGACGAAGGCAAATCGCCATTTTCGAAATTGATAAAAGAACTTGCAATGGCCAAATTGCAAATTGCAAAACGGTAAAATACGGTGTTTATGAAGCGATAGAGCGCGCGTGTGTGAGCAGGAGCATTCCGTCCAAATCAATATGGAATTGAGTAAGTGATTAATGAGATTGATTGGCGCTCTTCAATCATCAGGTACATTTCTGACATTCAACATGAGCGCGTACGCATTTGATAGCCATTTAAGTAGTTTGGCTACACCAGTTCTGGTTGCAGTATATGCTGACGGCGCGCGCACCAAATGAAATGTGTTTCTTGTGAAATGCCCATTCAAAATGTTGCACGTGATGCAGACACACGATTCGGGACGCTCTCTCGACGAATGGGAAAGTTCTTGTCGAGCATGTAACAGTGATATGTTGTCGGCTCGAGATAGAGATGATTAATAGACGTTGTTCTTGGCGCGTGTGTGTCATCGATATTCTATACATCGTATGAGAAAAAAAAGTCTATCACGCCAAATTTAGTGATTCAGTCGGGATTTGTGATTATGTTTGTATGTTGCCCTTTAAATCGATTAAATGCTTCATATCTGGAATGCCTTTTTGCTATTCTGCTCATGATGCTCTTCAGTTCTTTGTGCGTATGTGTTGCTACTCACCGCAAATCGACGGTGCACAGAGCCCAAGAAGGAAATCAATAAATGGCAGAAATGATGAAATGTTGATAGTTGAACTTGACTCGAGAAGTGGTCGTTTCGTAAACTTGATATGTGCAACGCACACACACACACACATCACGCATCGATTGCCGACGCATAATTGTTAATTAAAAACCAAAATCTCAGTGCTGAACTCTGCCGTCAGCAAGAACATAAATGATGCCGGCACGTCTCATCTCTCTCGTTCTCCTTGTCAGCGCGTTTTTTCAACGTGCGTGAACAAAAGTCAATTGAAAGCAGCAGCAGTAGCAGCAGCAGCAACGTGTTGTTTTGCTTTCTCGCCGCTATCAAACACCGTCCGTGTTCGATATATGTTCATGTGATCTATGATGAATGCCAAAGTGATACGAACCATAGTCATGAAGTGCGTGCATTGACAACATATCATCACTACGAGCGCATTCTCTCTCTCCATCCATTTTACCGTGGTACGTGCCAAACGTACGAATAAAACGATGCACTTTATTGTTTTTTACTACAATGTTCATCATTTATTTTTTTTCGTCCCTTTTGTCGCTTCAATCATGTTTAATCTGTGATAGAAATCAATTCAATTGCAAGCCTCATACCGAAGCTAGCAAAAAGAGTCCAAGTTAATAAACTCTCTGCTTGAACACATTTCGATGATTCTCTTTCTTTTTATCCTGTTCCTTTTACGGTTTTTGCATCAAAACATGCCATGGAAATTAAATTGTTCTGGCACCGAATCGTTCTAACGGCTCGAATAATTTGCTTCAACACATGAACTAACAGGCGGTGTTCATATGCTTCATCGAATCAGTTCATAACGAAAATCGGGTGAAAAACGAGATATAATGAAAATTCCCAGGAAAATTCCATGGGCAAAAAATGATATTGGATGGCATCCAATATCGAAAGAAGAAGAAAACGACCATGAGAACGAGCAAAAGTTTTCCAAACTGAATACAATGTGGCATGAGTTTCTCTCTGTGCTTATATTATATGGTGTGTGTGTGTGTGTGTGTCGACTTTTTTTATTCATTGCACACATTGCACTCGTTGTTCGGCCCACAAACAAACAAAAAACACGTTGTATGGATGACAAGTTTTCAAGCTACTTGGTTCAATAATGCAGGCCAAAGGTTAAATTTGCCTTTTTTTCTCTCTCACAAATCGAATGCAAACCGAAGGCTGTTTTTGTGTGTATATGCATGTGTGCACTTCAAATTGCACTGGAAACTCGAGCGAAAGAGCTGAAGTGGCGAACTGAGAAATAAACGCCACCATTTTTAATTGCACAGTCGTTAATGACTCGAATGAAAAACGCATAAAATTTGTATAACAACTGGCCAAATTTAAAATATACACAATCAGAGATGCTCTTGACAAAATGTGCAATTTAGTTGGAATTTATCACCATTTTCTCGTATGCCTCTTGACCATTTCTCTAGGCAAATTGCCGATTTATATAATGAACTTTTTCTACCTCTTTCCACCAAAAAAAAAAACGTTTTTCCCTCTTCTTTGACGGCGATGCTCAGCGCAAACGACATTCACATTTTGCTTTCCATTTGCCTCTGTTTCATTCTTTTATTCTTCAAACGAGAAAATGATTTCGTTCCGAAAAGCGATTCTTCGGCAATTATATGCTTGTTTAAATGATTTTTAACAAAGTTCGTTGAAATGAATGGAATCGCATTTGAAATTGAGCATGTTGTTTATTGTCTGATATATTTATTGGTCATATCATGGCCAATTGGCTAATTGAATGCGTTGCACGAGGTGCTTTCAATCTGGCTAATTCAGAAGCAATATTGTCTATATTTATGAAAATAAGAGGTCAGTAATTAAGCGCTTTGAAAAAAAAAATGGCGGCATGGCATTGCGTTCACAATTGTTGCTTTCTTTTCGTTTATTTTTTTTTCAGTTCATTCTTCATATTTAGTTTGTGTGCGCTTTGCGGAACGTTTCAAAAAGAAGGCGTACACAAAGCGGCGCACCTGGTTTGTGCGAGAGCGATCTGTATTTCAAAGCAAATTAGCGTGATTGATGTGAAATCAAACAAATCATCATAAAATATGGAATAAACTTGAAATGCCTTCAAATAAATTTCAAATTGTTGGCTGGAACAATGGAAACGGCCACAAAACGAAATGTGGGAGAGAAAACGTGGACAACAGCAACAGCAGCAAAAATGTATGTGCATGTATAAAAATTGAAACGCCTAGAGTTCTGCGGATATATAAAGCCCCATCACAAACTTGAGCGAGAAATAGCAGCAGCGACGAATCGTAAAAAACAGCTCGGAATTAATAGAGGAAAATCGTTAAAGCTCTACACACGCTGCGATGTATTATGCCAGCAATAAAAATTGTAAGTGCTTGTTTTCACATTCGACACCAATCCACACTGTACACCGCCTACAATTCAACTAAACTGCGTTGCGAGCAATTGAACACGAATTTCAAATAAATCTCCAATCCATTGAATTTCTTTTATGCATACGACAAAACAACAGCAGAGAAAAAACGACGAAGACAGCAACAACGGCAAGAAATGAAGAGAAAAGCGAAGCGAAAAAAAATGTTTGCGAACGTGAGGCGCACGAGAAGGAAAACAAACAACGGTGTTGTGAATTTTGCCCTTTCCTTTTCAGATCCACACACAAATACACACACGCACAGAGAATACTTCTGAAATGGAACAAATATTGCACCGTGTAGAATTTTATACACAACAACTCTTTTTCCAATCATTTTTGTGCATCGGTTTGGCTCATTTCGGTTCAATTTGTGTGTGTGTACTGTGTATGTTTTTTTCGCATCGCGCCAACGTTGAGAATTAATGAATAGGAATCGAAACTTGTGTGTTCCGTTACGATTTATCGTTTTTTGCAGCTGCATTGTTCTGAGGGATCAAATGGGCATTGTTTCTTTTTTTTCTCGTTCGTCGCTGTTCAGCCTCAGCCTTAGCCACAATATGTACAATCGATGAGCGCTGAAAAACAAATCTTTACATAAAATAAGTAGAGAAAAAAAAGAATCGACTGTTAGTCAATACTTTATTTGTTTGTTTGTTTGTTTGTTTGCTTATATGCTTTTTTATATTCCTTTGTGAAGAAGAAAAACAGAAAATATGTTCCACGCTGAACGCCTTTCATTTCAATGTTGAATAAAAATTTGGACGGTTTAGCTTTGAATCGATTATTCCTGGTTAAATACGGCGAAACCCAAAACCCGACTTGGTTTACTGATCCTCTCCCAAATAAATGAGATGGAAAATGAGCACCAAATTAATGAACGTTCGTTTTTCGGTTTAAAAGGCGACACTATTTCGTTTGAGATTGTACTTTTTAAAGGCCATATTTCGGATTTCGTTGACAGCACCGTCCAATATTCGTTGCGCATCATATTGATTTGAAATGACCGCCCGATCACCAATCAAGCCGAGCTGCAATTTATAGCCATAGGATAGAATCGATATACCGATTCCAGTTGAACCGCGATTTGGCAACCAAAAAGTCATATTACTTATTCGATAACCACTGATGTATGTTATTGTTTGCGGCCCCGGCAAATTCGATACTGCAATCGTACTGTGCACACTCTCCGTTAACGAAGATAACATACTTTCGGGGAGCAATGATGATAGAAATGACATTATCCAGTAGTTTACCTGAAAAAAGCAATTATGTTCATAGGAACAAAATGTATTTTTGGGAAGAAGAAATAAAAAAAAATTATAAAAATAAACAAAACAGAGAATAACGATGGAATTTCAACATTAGAGGAGCATAGAACTTACAAAATAATCGGGCGAACTTCGCAATAAATCCGAGTATTTTTTCACTTCCATCATTTTTGAGTGAAAACGAGATGCTTGTGTGTTCACAAATTGTCTGCCTCGTATTGGCAACGTTTGTAGCCCAACCGAAAACTTATTCTGCAGCTTTAATTGCGCACCTTGGACCACCCAAAATAGAGAACAAAGGCAATGAGAAAAATTGATTTCGAATGGAATTTTCGAAAATTTTCAAATGGCAATAAAGATAAAAATGGTTGAGAAAAAAGCTTTGCTTAACCCTTTGACGACCAAAACTGAACGGCTGGGAATTTTGCAATTCTGATTGCAGATTCGTGCTCAGCGACCCCAAAAATATTAGCAAAAGTGTTATCAAAAATTAATTTTTTTAATTGCAAATATGAAAAAAATGATGGGATATATGTGTCCCATTGGTCGGTAAAGGTAACTATTTACCTTTATTTTTCTATGAAAAAAACATGTCTCCCATAAGAACTACGTGTAAAATCTTTTCCATTTTTAAAATTTATAGAATCGTTTTAAACCAAAAATGGTTTGAATCATGCTTTGTTGTGCCCATTTAATCACGAATTTAACGATCTTTTTGTAAATTTGTGTGTTTCGAAATTCGCAAAAAGTGGTTGAAATACAGGGAAATCAGTGGTAATTATTTACCTTTACCGACCAATGGGACACATATGTCCCATCACGCCAAAAGCAATAAAAATTTGAAACAAAATTTTTTGTAGAAAAGGCGATTATCCTTAGAAAGTAACAGACACTCCGTACAACATTTCCAATTTTCAGCTTTAAAAGTTGTACCCTTCAAATTATATAGGGTTTGGCGGAATTTGAAAAAAAAGTTAAGATTTTTCGACTTTGAAGTGTTCTATTTGAGCACAGTGATGTAAAATATCCAATATTATGGTACTTTCTGGTAGCTACATTCATTCTCTTTCAAAAGAAACCAATTTTATAGAAATCGGTCTAAAAATGTGGAAATTATTGACGAAAAACAAAATGGGACATATGTGTCCCAAAGGTCGTCAAAGGGTTAAAGAATGCAATGGAAAACAGAACAAATTAGCTCTTTCCACCAAAGGGATATTGCAACTTTTTCGACCTGAGAAAACGCCATCTAACGTCGTGGCCGTAAATTATTTTACTGTATATTTAGATGGAAGAGCTTGAACAAAAGTTCGACACTATGCATAAACTTGGAAAGAGCTCGATAAACTTGACGAAATACACATATATTATGGTCGTTGCTACACCGCTATGCTTTCCACTCACCTTCAGCTTCAATGCGAGCCGGTAGAACAGCTGTCATTGTATTTGGTATGTGGTGTCCTTTCGATTCAAAGTAATTCTGGAAGCTGATGGATAGCGCGCTAAGAAGAACATCTGAAAAACGAACACCTTGGAAGTTTCGTTTGATTGCTTTCATGGTATCGAGCAAATCAAGATCATCATCGTTTTCAAAGTGCCAGCAAATAATCTATGCGAACGAAAAATCAACATGTCTATCAAATCCATCGTTTCTTTTTTCCAAAGTCTAAAAGCATTTCTAAAAAAAAAACCACCATACTTTGTCGCCCGTCAATTTCTGTTGGTGTAGTGTATTTTCGTCAATTTTTTTAAAACCCTGTTGAACAATCGACGCAGGTGATAAGAATAAAATGCTGATTCGTGTTGCCAAATTCTGCACATACAACTTCAATCGATTCCAGATGCGTTGGAATTCGCGTGCATTCATCGACGCAATCGATTTCCAGATGGAGAATTTTTGCACAAATGTGGGTGGAGAGAATTCATTTTCAAAATATGTTTTCAGTTTTTGTCGTTGATGTATGCAGTTTGTCCATAGATTCTTTTTGGAATTTTCTCGATCGGCAATGGTTTCCAAAAATAGCCGTAGCAATGCAACACCATCGCCCAGTGAATGATGTATACGGAATAGAACCTGCAAAATCGAAACGAAGGGAAAATTTATGAGATGCATTGTGATTGGAATTCAAAAAAAAAAAAATAATCGGAAATGAATGTGGTGTGACCGGTTACCGGAATGTGTGTGGCCAGATTGCCTTCGCTGTTGTAGTCGGTGATGTGGCGTTTGGAAACGAGAATTTCCCATGAAGCTGAATGATTATTCATCAGTGGCATATTGCAAAGCGCCCCAAATGCCGATTCAATATATTTCTTGTTATCAGTATGCTTTGCGGCTTCGGTTATATTCGGCATAAATCTGAACAATGCAAATCAAAAACAAGCAAAACCAAAAATTTTATTCACATAAATTGCATGCTTTGGTATGCGCTTTGATGAATTGAAAATACGTATGTAAGCTATAAATCAGGAAATTTTTCAAACAAACACGCACGCACGCACGCAAAACTCACCGAATGTAATCCTCGATTGTGCATTCATTTTCATTGGTCCAAAATGAGTAGCCGTGCTCTTTGCAACGCTTGTAGAATAGCTTGGGGAATGTTTTGTATTCGCCGAGAAAACGTAATGACAATCGCTTCCGTAATGCCAATAGAATATTCACCGCACTGTCTGCCGCACTGTTGTTGCTCTGCACGTTGATTTCCACCAATGCCATAATATTTATAACACTTTTCGCAAAATCATCTTCAAGGGCCCAGACCGCATCTGACCCATCTAAAAATCCACGAAATTTATCGCCATATTTTCGCTAAATCGAAAATGAGAGCACACATTTTGAGAAAATGCCATTTGGGCGACACAAATAAAGGGTGTAGAATAAGGAGGATAGGTGAGGAGGGGGGTTGAATGTACATTGTACACACTCACTTTGATCGTATGATGAATATGGTGGCGGTAGCACAGCATGCAAAGCCACAGTGTCAGTAACAGTGGTAGCAATGCAATAAATACTAGAAAACAACTGGTGGTGAATGCAATGTGCAAATAATCGCAATTTTTCCAATGCAGTAATTTTAGTAATGCGATCAAATCCTTGAATAAATATGCTAACGAATCGTCTTTTGTGATGATGGATGTGGTGGCCCGGCGAAAGAGCAACAGTATCATCAGCAGTACGATCATTGAAAATAGGTATTGACCGCTTGCCAAGAAAGTCGTTTGAATAATCGTCGCTTCGGAAAACCGATTCGGATCACTGACGGCATAGCATTGCTTTGTAAGCATCCAATGAATTGGAATTCGATGTATTGTCCAATTCGAATACTGAAGACTCAATGCATTCAATGCTCTCTGATAATTTTGCATGGTCGATAGATTCACACACGTAGCCATTTAACAACAACAAAAAAATGCAAAATTTTTTCCTTCGTCGAGCAACCCGCAATAACGTTTGGCACAATTTTTTCGGCACCAAACACACAATTGTCGGTCGACACAAATGGTTAACAAAGTCGTCAATTGGAAATTTACGTTTTTTATTAGTTCATACAAATGGTCTTAAAAGTCTTTCTCTTTTAAATAGTCTTTAATTTTTATCCGTAAATTTTATTTTTTGAAACAGACAAAAAATCAATTTCGTTGGATTATGATTCACTTTCAAGTGAATCGAAAATTATTATTTGATTGCTTATCGCAATGAATACATTCTCGGTTGAGAAGTCGAAAACGAATGTGGGAACTTCGTTGAACGCAGTAACAATTGTACGACTGCAACTCAAATAATGAATAAGACTGGCGCAATATTTTGGTTTTGTTGTTTTACCTAGTTGTGAAATATGGAAATATTTAAGTGAATTATTGAAGAAAATGACTGTAGTTGTGTATTTTCTTTTGCGCGAAAAGTCAAGAAAATGACGATGTAGCGGAGTATTTTTATTTAACAAGGCTTTTCGCTCTCTCTCTTTCTCTCTTTCTCTCCCTTCAAAAAGAAGCCATAAAATGCCGAAAATCACATATTGTAGAACGTATAGTGTTACAACTTATAATAATGAGTCACTTGTTCGCAAGATTTGGCCGCCTCATTCGCATGCCGAATTGCGTATTGATGATGATAATGAGTGCATCGCAATTCAATTTGCAATGAAATTCGAAATAAAAGGAAAAAATGGCCAAAATGGTCGTCGTCTGACGCCATTTGTTTAATGTAATTTTCGTGAAAGAAATGCCACTGACAGCGAACGAATCACTAAAACCGCTGAGTAAACATGCGCCAAATTCACAATGAAATAAAGAAAAAAACGTGCGAAAAACATGTGACTTTGTGCCAGTCTGTCTGAATGGCACTTGTATAATAGAGGATAGTGTCGATTGACCAAAATCCTTTGAAAATCGCATTTATGTCACTTCATAATGCCTTGACCGTCGGAATGGGATAAATGATGACCTTGAGGTCAATCTCAGATTTTTGGTAAACCAACAAAATGGTGATTTCCATTATGGGTGTCCAATACATAAAATCATCTCAGGCCTAACCCAAGTAAACGTTGAAAGTGTTAGCCTAAGCAAATAATTCTTCTTCTTGTATGCCCTATCGAACACGTACCACAGCTTCTCCGTGTAAATCGATCCACCCTAGTATTCAATGTATAAATATGAGTGGTTTCCAAATGGAAAATTCACACCAAATCTGGTCATATATTTCTTTTCTGCCGTTGTTATTTTTTCTTTCTATTTTTACCGCGTTATTTATAGTAAATTGGTATCGAACAGAGGCGAAGAGCAAAATAAACACAATGCAATCGAAGCCATATGCGAGTTTGCCTTTGTTCTTCGAAATTAATGATTGGTCGATTGGTCGTGGAAATGGAGAGTAAACAATTTACAAGAAAAAAAAGAAGAAAAAAACCAACAACAACGAAGCAATGAACATTGCTCGTATAAATAGTATTGTGTGCACGGTGTGCCTTTTTCGCTCCATAAACAAGTAATAAATTTAATTGACTCTCCTATTTCGCGAATATGTGTTTAGAATTAATTAGCGAAACGGTGAAACGATTACAAGCGCTACACCGGATAAATAACGACCAATGAAGCAACGAAAACTACATTTTATATTCAAAATAGCAGAAAAATAAAGAGAACGTCTCATTTGAATGTGCATGCACAGTGAGTCGCTATAACAACCGAACGAGTGATAAACAAATGGTTTCCATGGTTATGTCGCGAGTGCAGCAATTGGAACAAAGCCGTACTTGAACCATGGAAATGGCCAAGTCAGAGGATAGAAAGTAGACGAGTGAAAAAAATCGATTGGAGTTTCATTTCGATTTGTTTTGTTTTTTTTTTTTGGTCTTCTCGTAGTTAAAATTAAATTTGTGTAGTAAAATGTCTTTGTTTAAAGTGTGCACATGGTGGTCGGCTCAGTGTCCTGATTTTGATCCGAATTATGATTCGCAGCTGTTACACTGTTGCCGATTTGGAATCGAAGAGAATGAAAAGGATTACGTAATTGTTGCATCGCATTCGGGGTTTGTTAGTGTTTTCCAGCCGAATGCATTGATGGTGGACGAAACGGAAGACGAGGAACTGAGCTCGGGATTCAGGCCCACCGATCAATTGCTCGAAATTAAGCTGCCCAATCCGATATTACAGTTGTCATCGGGAAAATTTATCATGTAACTATTGATTGAAAATATGAACTGACTTTCAACGTTGATTTTCCACGTTCGCTTGTTGGTTTTAGAGGTGCAGCGAATGAGGGTAAGCGTCAATTGGTCATTTTACACCCGCTCAAAGTATCCGTTTACTCGTTACATCTGACCGAAGGACTGGCTGAACATGGTTTGTAACCAAAAAAATATTTTTTTTTTATATAAAAACTGAGATTTCTCGTCGTTTTAGGAATGCAATTCAAATTGAACCTGTGCTTTGAACACAAACTCAGTAAGCCAGCGTATTCGGTGTGTCATGGACATTTTGGCGGATACAAAAGTCGTGAATTCTTCTGCATTACACACATGGATAGCACATTAACATTTTTAGAACAGGATGGCATCGTTTATGAAACAATTCTCGTGGGCGATCGTCATATTCCATCGAAAATGGTGTTCAACTCGCGAACGGATACCTTTTTAACTGTTTCATCATACTGTGATTTAGAGTGTTATCGGTATCAGGATTTGGCCCAAGCGGTCGATACACAGAAAAGTAGTCTGTCACTTCCCATTTGGACGGTGTGCATCGGTGAATATTCACTCGATATACAATTGCAACAAATCACCGAGTGAGTCGACTTAATTCACACTTTTCTATATTTTTATCAACAAATTTTAAACTTTTCGATGAAATTAGTGAATTAGGCGAAAAAAAATATTACAATTTTTCGATTATCTTTCAATTTCCTTTGAAAATTACATCGTAATCCCGTGAAAATTGACAATTATCAGAGCAAATTAATTTTTTTTCTTTAACACTTCTCTGTAGAAATGAAAATTTGATATTGATTTTGTGTGAGAATTTACTATACGGAATATCCGATACATCGAGCATAAAGTTTATTAAACGTTTGGATTATGTTCCAATGTGTTTTTGCTCATTCGTCGCTGGATGGTACTATGGTACGATAGAGATTTCTTCTTGGTGATTTTTTCTTTCAGACCAAAAGGTTCAAGAAATTTTATTTTTTCATCGAATAGAACCAAATGCTCGGCTGATAATAACTGTCATCTCTGAAAGTGGGACCATATTGATATACAACACATCTCAGTTGATCTGGGCGGCTCAATTATCCTATGTACCGATAGCAATTTATCGAACGAATGTGAACGGTTTGCCCGGAGCCATCTGTACGCTTTGTGATAATGGTAAAATCGATGTGTCTTACCTTGGATCCGATCCGCAGATGTTTCAAGTGCCGCCGCTCAATATGCAAAAGTTGAATTTCGAAAAAACTCAAACGGAATTGATCGAATTGGAGAAGGAAATCAAGGCTGGTATTGATTTCACTGATGTGTCCGCCATTAATGTGGCCGCCGAACGTGATTTAAATATTAATTTCTCAATTGAATCAACGCTCGAAGAATGTATCCATTCAACAAATATGCCAGGCAATTTGGTATCACCGGATGATGTGAAAATGGTACGATCCAGTGTTAAATTGGTTGCACAAACAAATCTGGAACAAGTTCAAGTACAATTTTATTGCTCCGCCCCGCTAATGGCCAACAAAGCAATCCACACTTTTCAACAAATGAGCGCCAGCCAAGAGGAACTGGTGGAAACGCATTTTTACATGGCAAATTGCTGCGATGTTGCTAGCACAACAATTACAGCCGTTATATCGTTCATCAACAAACACACGATACCGCGCGTGATTGAAAAAACCAAATCGCTACCGATGACAATGTTTTTCAAAACATTTATACCACAAAAAGAATCAAGCATCAAACTGACGATAACAGTGAATCAGGCCACCGTTCCAAGCATGGAACAATTATTCGTAGATGAATTTCCAATCGATTCCACACACAATGCCACCGGATTTAAGTCGATTTATACCGGTAAAATTGTCACAATTGTGGCTGCGAAAAATTCCAATCGATACAGGTGCGGATAGTTGGAAATGAAACTATTTTAACTAGGAGAAAATGTGCTTTAAATTAGTTATTTATCAAAAATATATTTCCAAATTTTCCAAAATAGGATTCAATCGGATCATCTGCCAACGATTGCACCCATTCTGGAGGCATTGATACAGCGAATCGAAAACTATATCGAACCAAAAGTGCAAATAGTTAATAGTTCCCCATTACCAATAAATGGTTTGATTACACTTGTTGATGCTCATTATAAATCGTATCAAAGTCTACAAATCGTTCGGGTAAGCAATTGAAAGCAGTTAAACCTGAAATGTGCAAGTTGAACGAAAATTTAGAAAAAGAAACTTGTTGAAAAATGTGAAAAAGAAGACATTTCATAATTTGTTCTTTCCAAATTGGTCATATATTTTCAGGAAAAATTGAAAAACTGCACGATTCGAATGCGTCTGCTGGAGCGTCGATATTTCACGAAATTGGACGACAAAAAAACCGGTTCAATCGACAGTATAATGACATTTTTGAAAACAACACACCATGAGCTAATGGCACATATTCAATCGTTAGAAAATGCCAAGCAAAATTTAGCCAAGTAATTTATTTCTCCGCATAATTTTTTTTTCTCATTCACCTTCAATCATGACATAGTTTTCTAAAAATAAATTGTGTCACTTTCATTCAATACAAATAAATAATTTTATGCAGGATGCAGTGTGATTTGTCGTGCGGCCTGGCATGTGTAAATGGATTGATTAAGTTAATTGATGTGCCACCAAAAGGCTGTGACACATTATGTTCATCGCTAATGAGCACCGTAACTGATTATCCACAGCAGGTGAAACGATTTGTCGTTATTGTTTGTTATGGTTTTTTTCCGCAATTTGTTTTTGTTTTTGTGTGAATTTCGGACAAACGTGATTTAATGGAGTGATTTAATTTAATAGAGTTGGGAGGAGATGACTGCAGCTGGTTTGAATATTTTGAATTATGTGGGTCCATTGCGAAAGAATAAAAATGCGGCGACCGACGATGATCCAACACTTGATGTGGCACCGTTTGATTTTGATCGTTTCAAGAGACACTTGACTGGTTTGTTGGAGCGTGTGTCGCGCAGTGGCGGTCCAAAAGCTAATGACATCAAAGACACACTCACCGAAGAAGATGATGTAATTGAATCAACCGACAATTCAAAACCACCCAAAGAAGAGGAGAGCGACTGGATTTTTGATGTTAAACAAACCATGAACATCCTACCACGATTATCACTTCAAACAAACATCAACGATGAAAATGGTGCAAAGTCAAGTTTTTCAAAGGATTAAATTTAAAAAAAAAACTCAACTTCAAATTTTTTAAACTCTTTTTTTAATGTTGATTTGTTTTTTTTTTTCAATCAGAAATCATTGAAAACATACTGACGAATTTAATGAAACAATGAACAATTTGTGTGTTTTTTAACGGAATAAAATTCACTTGGATCGATCGTGATTTGTTTGTTTTTTTTTTCTTGCTCGTTAATTGACTAATTCGCTGAGTTTCTCTTGGATATTCTTTATGGTTTCTTTGTCTTTGTTGACGGTTTCAATGAGACACGACATTGCCTTCTGTTGCATCGATAGAAACGCCTTCATTTCCTCAACCGAATCTTAAAATGGAAAAAAATAAAACGATTCTGAATTATTAGATAATTTAAAAAATAGAGGAGACAGAACAGATTAAGAGTGAGTATTATAATGAATCCGTAAAATGATGAAATGGATGAAATAGGAGGCCAAATAAAGGGGAAGAAGATTTTTTTATTCAAGAAAAATTCGGTTTTAAGCACTAAAATGCAACACAAACCTGGTTCTAATGCATAATCAACCGGATTGGCCAAATTCCATTGGTTGCGCTGCATTCGCATCTGTGACAGTAGTTCACTTAAAAGGCCTTTATATTGAGTTGGTGCTGATACTAAAGCTTGCATATTTTCTAATTTACTGCGAAGTTTCTCTTCTTCCGGTGACAACGCCACGCCAACCTTTCGCGTAATCTCTTGTTTTACAATAATCTATGGGAAAACAACACATGTTCAGTAAAGTATTCCAAATTCGATAAAATAACTAATAAGCAATTGTCATTCAAATTGCTCAATTGAAGAGAAAAAAAAGAAACTTACATCCAAAATATTATGGCTTAAATCGGCCAATTTGCGTTTGTGTGCTAATATTTTTGCCATAGCATCGATGTGTTTTTGTTTCATCTCTTCCAGATCCTTGCGAACCTTGGCTATGTATAATGAATGCATTTCGGTTTCTTTTTCCTGGCATTTGATGCGTCGTTTGAGTTCGGCAAAGCCAATTATCGGCACTGGTATGAAGACCTTTGGATCAGGATTGTCTTGTTTGGCTTGATTCCACATGCGTGGATCGATTCCTTTGGGCGGTTTATCGAGATACTCTTTGAGTTGATCTTCATCGGGTGAAATAAGGGCCACCACATCTTCGACACCGGTATTTGCGAGCTGATTCTTTGTCATCGGTTGATTTAAAAAATTATTCACTTCAGTCGATGAGATGCGCTTAATTTCATTGGAAATTTGTGATTTTTCCTGCACATAAATCACCACTTGACATTTGGTATCGGATAACGGTTCAATACTATCCACATTGACAGTGATCGTCGGTTTGTTGCCGAAGATTTGATGCAATTGCGTTTTGAACGCTTCCTGTTGAGTACGCATAACATTTTCCGATTTTTTCACTATCAACGACATCAAGCCCATTTTGTTATCTTTACCCGGAATTTTGTTGTAGCCAATCGCTTTGAAACGGCACAAAAACTATAATTGAAGAAACAGATTCAGCATTATTATTGGCTGTTTTTTTTAAGTTGTAATATTTTCGAGGCAATTGCTTACGTTTTGTGGTGTGATTTCGACGGGTGGTAGATTTTTGGCATAGAATGCCCTCCCATTGCCCCACATTGCCTGTAAGTAGTTCCATTTTGCAATCACTATGTCACGCTCGTCACCAAATATCGACACATTGTAAATTGATTCGGCGAACTGTTCGTCTGGATTCAGCGTGGGCTGCGGTTGTCCTAATGTTGGATATTGGCCCATTGTTGGCAGTCCTGACGGTTGACCAAATGTTCCGAAACCACCGCCACCAATACCAGCACCAAGGGTTGGCTTACCAAACGCTGTGTAATAATTATGATTGTGAAATATTTTGTTACGAATTTGAACTTCAACTTTCAACTTTTTTTTTTGCCTCAATCGTGTAGTGGCCACTTTTTACTATCCAAAATGAATGAGTCATCGTTCTCTTTGAATCAAATTTATACGAAAACATATTCATCAATTCATGCTTTGGATCTTTACAGCGTAAAGATTGGATTTCATTCATGTTCTAGTACAATTTACTTCAATCGAATTGATTGAAAACTTACTTGAACCGAAACCACCAAAAGCAGATGATGGTTGTGAGGCGGGTGCTCCAAACGATGGTGTATTAAATGAAAACGATGGGGGTGCAGCAGACGTTGCACCGAATCCGCCACCGAGTTGTGTACCAAGTGTACTGCCGAAACCTCCAAATGCGGATTGAGCTAAAATATTCGAAACAATTACATCAAAATATTGATTATTTCTTGATTACTCCATAACGAACTGTTTTACTCAAGTTCCTGCTTGTTTTTCTCATCAATGACACCAAAAATCACGTCGAAAAAATCCATCTTACCAGATGTGGTTGGAGCGGCTGCGCCAAATCCAGTGAAATTCGTGCCACCCAATCCAGCTGATGCTGCTGTGGTTGTTGTATTGAATCCACCGAACGCGGGAGCTGGACCTGATGTTGCTGTTGCGCCAAAGCCTTGAAATCATTCCAAGAATTTCATTTTACTTTGTATTCATTTTCATTTGTGCGAAAAATCTCAAATGAAAGTTGACAAGCGATTGAATTGTGGCTTTTAGTCGATATATCACAATTTGTGAAATCAAAATTTTTCATTCTACTGACCTGTTGCTCCGTATGACTGTTGTCCGAAGGCTGGTGCTGCTCCAAAACCGGGCGCTTGAGATACGGCTGGTGTTCCAAAAGCTGGCGGTGCCGATGTGGCGGCTGGTGTGTTGAACGAAAAGTTCCCGAAAGTGGCTAACGGATTGCAAATATTAAAACACAGTTCAAACATAACCAAAAAAAAGAACCAAACACACAGTCGATTTGGAGGGAGATTTTTACTTACGCTTTGCTGGCGTACTCGTCCCAATCGCACTCGTATTACCAAAATTAAAACTCATTGTGTTCAGTCTATTTGGGGAAAAAATCAACAACACTCAATGACTACCGACTATTTGTTGTCATTAGAACGTATAAAAGTTAGCCTTCATGAAATGTGTACAACGATTCAAGCGTTTTGCTGTCATATTACTGAGCATACAATATTCATTCACTACTGTCAAATATGTCAATGCACTCAAGCAGCATCAGCGCCCTCTTGTAGAATGGAATGAATTTAGAGCGCACATTCAATTGAAATGAACAAAAGTTCAATTCAGAACCGATTTTTTATTATCAAATTGAAATTTATGAAATTAAATTGGATAAAATTTTTTAAAAAATGTTCATATTTGCATAAAATAGCTACTATAGTCTTAACACAGTACATCAGTGGCAACGGTTGACGGTTTTTGTTTCAATGTACAGCAAAGTCGAAGGGAAAAGTGATAGATCAGTTCGATGATGTTGAGGAGTGAAACGTCCATGAACAAGCCCCAAAGACCTCCGCAACTCGCAAGAAAATCCGCCATTGTATACATTTCCAATCGATTGGTTGCAATGAAGGAAGGTTGCTTTAATGATGTCATCAATTTGATCGATTGAATTGGCAACAACTAGAAAAACCAAACGATTTTCATGAAGAACATATCTTTTCAAAGTCAATTTTGTTCATTAGGGTTTACTTTTGTTTCGTTTAAATTTAATACTTCTCAATTTTACTTCCCATTCAAATGCAAAGTATATCAAATTTCAATAATACCTACCAATGACCCAGAAATCATTATTATTTTGTGTGTTCTCATTTTCGAAACGCCGCGTCCGAGTGAGCCACCGGTGAATATGACTGGTGTTTCATAAAATGTGAAGCCATCGAATTGATATGTCTTTGTTGGGCCTTCTTTCATTGAAACGAACAGCACAAATTCCTGATTATCTCCCTGCATTGAAACAAATTGCAATTAAAATACCATTTCCACGTTCAATATGCAAAGAAACTAGCTCACCAAGTACGGTAAAAATTGTGTAACTTCCGCATCAAAGGTTAGAATTTGCATTGGTACTAATGTCGATTGTTCATCGTATCGATAGACGACACCGTTTGACGTGGATGCGAAAGATGTTCGAATAAGTTTCGATATTTTGACGTTCGTCCATGTAATTTGCAACGGCCACATACAATTGATTGCCAATTAAAAATGGTTCCATTTGCATGGCATTCAAGCATGGAATATGATCGATTTCATTGAATGTTGCATCGATCCATTGGAATATCGGACAATGTGA